CGCCTGCAAAACGTCTGATGCAGTGCTTTTAGTTTTTGCCATCGATTGACGATGGAGGCAGGGTTCTCATTCACATCAGGTTCTGGCGGAGCCATAAGATGTCCACCCGTGAGAAAATGGCCGGGAGTAAGCGGCTCCAGGTCATTTGGCTCATTTGAAGAGGGACTCAGTGGTCGCGAATTGAGGCACGCCTCAATCCGGCACAAAAGCGTACTGAGCTCTTCAAAGGTGTATTTGTGAGCGGATGCCACCTTTTTAAAGTGGCTTTTAAAGCTATTTACACCTGCTTCCCACAATCCTCCCATGTGAGGGGCTGCAGCGGGTATAAAATGCCACGTAAGTATTTGGTGGTTATATTTTGAAATCGTTTTGTCTCGCGCGTCAGACAAANTGTGCGACGAAAGTTGACCAAGAACAAGGCGGCTTTCGTATCCATGCGAGTACGATGGTCGAATCTGTCCAAAGATATGTTTTAACTTGCCCTAGGTCGAGGTTCTTGATTACGGATTCTATGATTTCCGCGAGCAGTACGGCTCCGCAAAGCTCTAGTCGTGGTAGCGATATTGTTTTGACAGGAGCTACTTTGGTTTTTGCCAAAAAAAGGTTGACCAAAACTTTGTCATCTCTTTTGACGTGCATGTATGCAGTAGCCGCATATGCTTTTTCCGATACGTCGCAGAAACCATGTATCTCGATGTCATCTCCTGGTGCGAACTGTACCCATCGAGGTATTCTAATATTGTCTATTGCATGGTAATGTTTGGTAAAATTCTGCCAGCGTTCCAAAGTTATAGAAGACACAGTCTCATCCCAGTCTATGCCTTCTAGCCTTTGCATGAGTATTTTGGCCACGACGACTATTGGAGCAAGCCATCCTAGAGGATCAAATAGCTTGGCGATAGCTGATAGTATCGCACTTTTTTTAAGTGTATCGCGGTCCTCCAATGGTCTTGCCATGAAATAGAAAAGATCCGTATGGGCATTCCATCTTATGCCAAGCGCCTTAACCGTGCTGGTGTCTTCGAATGCCAAAAAGTCTTCCCTGAGTAAATCCGTTTTTGGGATGTCCTTTAGAATTTCCGCACAGTTTGAGGTCCATTTCCTTAGCGGAAATCCGGCTGACCGTAGTACTTCAGAGATTTCATTTCTTGCTTTTACGGTAGAGTCAATGCTATGTCCTCCAGCTAGCACGTCATCCACATACATGCATTTCCGTAGTATGTTAGATGCTATTGGGGAAGAGCTTTCTACATCGTCAGCCAGTTGTAGAAGTGTCCTTATCGCGAGGTAAGGAGCACAATTAATCCCGAAAGTGACAGTCTTTAATTCGTATAGACTTACAGGTTCGTTCGGGTTTGTACGGAAAACTATCCGCTGATATTTGGTATGGTTGCTATCCACCCAAACTTGCCGATACATCTTCTCGATGTCACTATTAAAAACGTATCTGTATAACCTCCAGCGGAGTATAAGGATCGGAAGATCTGCTTGGAGAACTGGACCTGGGAGAAGTACATCGTTCAGACTTGTGCCATTAGCCGTTGGACTTGAGGCATTAAAGACGACTCGAACTTTGGTGGAGGTACTTTCTGCCTTTATAACAGCGTGGTGAGGTAGAAAGTAGTTATCGGAAGAGTCTGCTGAAATACTATCATTTATTCTGGACATATGTCCTAGTGATTCATATTCAGCTAGTACCCTATTATACTCTTTTTGTAGGACGGTATCCTTTGCAAGCCGTGTCTCATTCCGGAAGAACTGAGAGCATGCTTTTTTGAGAGAAGGGCCTAGGCAGATG